TCGAAGGTGCAACATCCGTAACCAACACAACAATATCGACGATAAGTGAGTTTCATCTTTTTAATATAGATCTTTCGAAACAATATGAGTTATAATTCACTTACACATATGAACATTCGACTTCAAATCGACCAGGATTATAAGCATAGAGTCAATCAGCGTATTGTACTTCTCTCCTTGGTTCATATCAAAATATTTAAGAAGTTCGCATTAGTGTAGTTTAATTGATTTATATTTTTTGTCGAAAACTCGTCGATGAGGGTAACGAAACAATAGAAATTGCAGCTTCTATTGAGTCACTCACTGTCAAAATTTCTACGATGGAAACAATTTTAACTGTTTCTTTGATTCATTAAACAGTTTGAGTAAAAATTGGGCCTGCCTAATCGTTTATAGAGTGGTAAGAAACAGTTACGAGAAGCGGAGAATCATAATTGACTAAATCAGCTGGTCTATTGAATCTTAAATATCTAGAAAACTTGCAACTACATTATTTATCAGATTTTTCCTATTTGCATTGTTCTATTTACAAAACTTGAATCCAGTTTAAATACGAAAAGTGACAACTTTGAATAGTAAAACTAAATGATCATGCATTCTTTGTAGAGACAACAAGAGCTGCTACGATATGTATGTTGTCTATTTCATTTTTTCGAATAGTTAATAGATTCTATTGATTTTTTAATTAGCGCTCTAAATCATAAACATAGCACTGTTTCTGCATGTAGCAGAATTTCATTTTCTTATACTTTTGGAATCCTATTTTGTATGTGTAAAAGGTAGAAAGTAAAGAATTATTGATTTGAATGTCTATAGGCACAATAACAAGTACTGCTGCACCATTAAAGTTAGCAGCTAATACAACAAATGCTACTTCGGCATCAGGTTTAGCTGCTAATACAACAAATACTACTACAGTAACAGGGTTAGCAACTACAACAACCGATACTACATTGATTAGCACGACAACAACAACAACAACAACAACAACAATAACTACTACTACCAGCAGTAC